AACACGACAATCAATGACCTAATTAAACCAATCAACTGTATCAAATGTTGCTAATTAGATAATATCGATTTGCCAACATTAAATTATATGCTAGTTAAAACATTTACTGGATTAGATGACATTAATTATATGTAAGTAATTTTTATGAAATATGAACGATGTATGACGTCAAGCGCAAAATCAAAATTCCATCAAATTAGGTACATATCATATAACAAAGTATAGTTCGGATAACTTATAGTCTTCTACTTCATCATATTTTTATAATAATAACTGTAATTTACATGTATTAAAACGTTCATTATAAAACTAAGAACAACATCAGAGGCCTTAGTACGAGTTTGATTTACGTTTAAAGTATTCGAAACGAGTATGCGTTTGGCACTCTGATTGGCCGGCGCCAATGAAGCAACCAATCACAGCACCGAACGCGTACTCGTTACGATTACTTTAAACGTTAAACAAACTCGTACTAAGGCCTCAGGTGCAAATTCTCGCGTAGGTAACCGTGGCGAGTGTAATCGATAGTGCCCCTAAGTGAAGGACTAGTGGGGGCTAAAAATAGCACAATGGGGTGAGCAAATGAGCTCCTAACCTTTAAATGACTTCTCGTGTTACAGATTAAAGGTTGCTTTATTATTTTTGTTTTGTTGTGGGCTAAGAAAGTGGCTAAAGGATGTATTCATTACCTGTTTCCCTTACAAAAACATTATTTTCTGTGCGTGAATTCTCGTTACTGTCGATATTTTTGGCAATCTCTTATTTCGATAATCGTTTTCTTTATTATCTATAAGAAGTTTTAGGCATAATTGGAGCCCATTTAGACTATTTCCATGGAGAAAGACCATAGTTATATCCAAAGTTAAATTAATGCGTTCACACTTTCGCGGTTTTACTAAAAAAGGATTTCACTCAGCTTCAAGATCAATTTCTTAATTCTTCTAAACTTCTAATCATACATTAGATACATAGACTTCTTTATACAAAGCTAGTCCTAAGTAAGCTTTACTTGCCAACAAATCAATATAAAGAGCCGTTCATCTATTCGACACGTGTAGAAGTCTAGCAACTAAATAGGTATTAAGAATATTACGTAGTTCTTAGTCACTTATGTAATAACGACTTGTGGACATGTGTAATTGTGTATTCATATCTGTTATGTATAAATAACTCGGTAAATATTTCTATTTACATAATATCCACGTGATAATAATAGATTTGTATGTATTGTTTGTGTCTTTACCATTTAAGGGACAACAGGGTCCCGGTCATTTGAGAGGCGTACGAGGGCCTGAAGCCAACTGCGCAGAGGCCCTTTAGACAACTTTAATATAAATGTAATGGACACACAAACCGGCGACTAAGTCTGTATGCACTATGGAAATTCACGCAAAAACAGTCCCTGGTTGTGTAGAACTATTGTAGATAATGGAAAAAATAGGTAGGACTATAGATGGGACTGGTAAATTGGGAACTATGGATAACCTGCCGACACAATGTACTTACTACACGTAAAAATGGCAGGCGGAGACTCGCCAACTCACCGACCGGGCCCCGGGAATGGTTGCAAGATAATAGCAACAGAGGGGTATGTATTATTAATAATGTTAACGCTTTTATATTGAATTAAAGACATTTTTGAAGATAATTTAGAATATATGTATTAAATCGTAGTTTTCCATGTTTAAGTAATTGCTTTTCGATTGCAAGATCATGGATTTTCTTCCGAAGGAGAAAATGCGAAAACTTAATATCAGGGTCTTTTTGACCGAAGGATTGAATTTGTGCATCTTTGCTGGCACTAGGAGTAAAGGGTTGATTTCTTATTTCAGTTTTTAAACGATAACATAATAAAAACGTGTAGGTAGTACAAATCTATCTTTATTAAATGAAACCCGTTTCCAGTCACGCCATAACTTGAGAACGGGTAGACCGATTTGGCTGACTTCTTTTTTGTTGTGTTCATTATTGTCAGGAGAATGTTCATATGACAGAAAAAAAATGCTGAAAATCTTACGGGAACGGGATAAAACGGGATTGCGCGTACGAAGTCGCGGGCAGAAGCTAGGACATTATATTATAAAAAGGATATTAACATAAACGATAAAGTCAATTTAGCCATATGCCATATAAAAGGATGCGTCGAAAGCGACATAGATTTATTACAACACGGTAAACGATCCAATGGTTGCAAAACAAACCGGTTTAGCCAAGGTCAAGGACGGATTTGTGACAAAAACTGCGGCAACTGGCTTGTCGTTGCTAAGTCATTTAACCGACTGTGATGAAACGAAGGATTATGACTTTCAATACAGATAAAATTCAATGAAACGACGACCTTTATCAAATGCATCAGAAATCAGAATAAAAAGAGATTGCCATCTAGTGTTACCATGTGCGACTATGTAATAAAATGCAGCCCTATGCAGAAGAAAGAATTTATGAAAATCGGTTTAGTAATTTCGAACATCTAACTTTCACATTTAAACTAAAAAATTATCTCTTTATAATATTAGAAAACCCAGGAGTACAGATTGATGTAACCACGACTACGTGAACTTACCTTTTCATATAGGACCAAGTTCAGGAATCGATCCTGTAGCTAATGTACCTGACATTAGCTACAGGATCGATTCCTGAACTTTAACTACTTATTTGACTGTTATATTTATCTAACGATATACATACTTCTAGGGTGTTCGCGTTATCTTAACTGAATAAGCCTACAAAACATACGATAACTATTATGTAATTACAAATTATGATCGATTACGATAGCTTATCAGTGACAGTGACCTGATAACGACCCACTGAGTAATATACCATGCTTATAAGTACTATATTTCATTAATTAATCATTATTTTCCATACACTGTACTACTGTAGTGTAGACATGAAGTCTTGTTGCGGTTTTCGCACGAGACTAGGTATGTGATGTATTTGTGGTTTCAGTTGATAGACGTATTTTAAGTATGCCTATGTATGAATCAGGTACATATGTTAGGGAGCTCCGTTAACGTAACCGAAACTATCTGATATCACATACTAGCTACTTCCGCGCGGTTTCACACGCTCTGCTCAGCTCCAATTGGTAATAGCGTGATGTTTTATAGTCAATAGCCATCCTTGACAAATGCGCTATCCAACACAAAAAGAATTATTCAAATCAGACTTGTAGTTACGGAGATTAGCGCGTTCAAACAAACAAATTCTTACGCTTTATATAAAGCGGAAGAATTTGTTTCCGCTTTACTTCTTATACTATTATACTACTAATATATAATAGTATAGTACCTATAAGAAGTATAAGATAAAAAATATTCGAAACCTTAATCGAATCCAAAATAAAAGTTTCGGATACTATCGGATTGGGGCGTAACGTATAAATGAAACCATTATATTACCTATTTGTATTTAACTTTTAAAAATTTAATAAGTAACCGAAATTAGGTATCCGAAACTAACGTTCGACGTGTAAAAGTGCTGCCTTGTAGCCTATTTGCAGAAATAAATTCACTTGTTTCACAACGGATAATTAAAAGTAATTTCGTACCCGTATCTAGTATAATAGTCATTTCTACATCCGTATCCGAAATATCATATCCATCATATCCAATGTTTGTATGTAAGTACTTCAGTACGAGACATCTTTATCTATTAAATGCCTACTATTTTGCCTGGAAGACAAAGAGTTGCGTAGATAAAGTAGGTAACACTTAATGACAATTGTAAGAACATAATCTTCTCATACTTATTGTTTATAGCTGAAGATTTTGTTTGTGCGCGCTAATCTCAGAAATTACTGGACTGATTTGAACAATATTTTAGTGTTCAATAGTTAATTTATAGAGCAACGCTATGAAACATCACGCTACGATCAATAGGCGCCGAGCAGAACGAGTGAAACCGACTTCAAAAAAAGAAGGAGGGTCTCAATATGACCTGTATGTGTGTTTGTGCGCGATTATCTCGCGATTGGCTGAACAGATTTTGATGTGGTTTTCAGAAAAATGTTTGTTACACTTAAGAGAATGTTTTAGTATATTAATTAACAGAGTTCAAAAATAGAAGGGATTGAAATCTGTCTTTTAAAAAGTAGTTTATACAAGAATTATAATTAATTGTTAAATTAATATAAGTAGTACCTACTTGTCTGTCTTTATCATATCCTTTTTACATAGATCTTATTGTGTAAAATAGTATGTAGTTACATTTTTATATAAAATTATTTTATTACAAGCAAATAACAAGTAGGTACCAAAGAGTTTTATGGATAAGGAAAATTTAGCAACGAGAAATAAATAAAATAACTGGCTATAAAATATTTCATAGCCATTTTCAATATAAATGTAGCTAGCTGCCTACAAAGATAGTATCTAAATAAATAACATAATAAAACTTAAAGGTACTTAATGCCACTGTACAATGTAACACCCACTTTTCACTATTTATGTTATGAGTCCCATGTAATAGGGGGTGAGCCTACCTAACCTAGATAAAGAACCTAAATAAAAAAAGAATGTTATTATTCATATTTTCTTCAAATTATTTATTTTTCCCCTGTAACTATTTTGAGACCATCTTTATTGCAATGTTACCTATCCTACTAATATTTGTTATGTTTGTTCATTGTTACACCTCTATGCCAAAACGGCTGAAGGCATCAGAATGAAATTTGGAACAGGGGTTAGATTGTGGTCTGGAATAACACATGAGCTTGCAGAAGAATAATTTCTAATCAACTCCACTAACTACATTGAGTGACCACTCCCCACTAACTACATTATAGACCTTATTTTCATTGTTTAGAGACTACTTTTGTGATGATTTTCAAAAAATTCAATGGGTTATGAGAAACAAACTAGAATGTTAATTTGAGTGTTACAAAATATGTTTTTATGCTAACACTAGTCTTTTTCTTTTGATTAAATTATTGATGGTATCTTTTATCATAGAAATATTGTATGTTTATTGTTTTTAAAATGATGTAAAGCACTTACCTGAGGACATAGGCGTCGACTTGCTCGCTCTGGGTGAAAGAGATGATCTCACAACGCACAATCTTCAGCACATTCTCCCATTGTTGACTGTCAACAAAATTATTACGTTATTTAATTTTAATTCTAAGGTACCATCAACATTAACAACTTTTTTACAGACTTCAAAACAGGAAGAGGTACTATGTTCGGTAGATTGTTTTTTTTTATTATTATTACCAAGGAACATCAGATATCTTCCTTCTATCTAAGAAATTATAGGTTTAAAAACTTTTTTAAACATATTAATTTGTAAAATAAAATTATCTAAAAATGTGTAATGTTAAAGTAAATACATTTAAATAGCTGTCTTACTTGAACTCTCAAGGATATTTAAATACAGTTTTAAATAGCCAAAACCAGTAAAAGATTAAGATAAATAATGGCTTTTCGATTACTGCTTTGTAGATATTTTTTATGAAACGAAACTGCTAAGTAAAATACCCAATATTCTTAATAAATAACCAGCTGTGATGTAATGGTAACATAAAGGTATATAAAGTATTAATTACTGATGTACAGTAAAGAAATTATTTCAAATCACGCGCGCCTGCTATGGCCCGGCCCTAAGTTCGGCCCCAAGCCAACCACGGCGGCCGGGCAAACCTCCGGACATCCAATAGACGATTAAAATGTTCAAACAGCTGATTCCAGAACATTCCACAACAACAAACTATTATTCTACTCCGTAAACATTACATTTATATGTATCTACAATTAATAAAGTGACAGAAAACATTATTTACTTTTATAGGACTAAATATCTACACACTGCATGAAACTTAAAAGATTTATACGTGAAGGTTTCAGTAATGTACCAATCTGCCGGTAACCTAAATACAAAGCTACAACTTACGTAATTCAGTACAATATAACAATATTACTCAAGTTGCTGATGAACACCACACAAAAGAATACTCACCGAGTGATTTTTCTCAAATCCGCATTTTTCGCCGGTGTAAACCAAATTTCGATGAGCTTCTCAACTCCTTCGAAAAATTGCTCATTATTTTCACTACTAGATATTATTTCTGTTTCAGCCATGACTACTTCTTGTTATTTATAATTTAAAAGAGCAAAAAGTAATTATTGAATTAATTCTCACTGAGAACTTGGCGCACAACCGTTTTGATTTGACGTCGGAAGTTGACTGAATGAAATGAAACGAAATTATTGGCAAAATGCGGGTGAAAGAAGAGATGGATGTATCAACATCTCTTTCTTTCAGAGCGAGCGAGCCGGCGCGTGTTTGCGTTCGGAAGTAGGGGCAGAGAATAAAGTCATACTCGGTGCCGCATGGAACGAAACCTCGTATTTATCAGTAACCAAGTAGATGTTATGTATTGCCAATGAGTAATATTGTTTATTATTTTTTTATCGTGCAGCCTATCTCAATGGAGGTTTATTGTAGGGAAATACCCACTACAATACATAAAAATGTTAATTTCATTATATGACTATAGGGTAAGGCTGGTATATTCCCCGCTAATACTAGTAAGTTTTGCATATTCCAGGGTATCAAACACATAAACTATTGAGGTTGAGATAATGTCCTGTGGTTTTTTCAAATAATTAAACTAGAACAAATGTAGTTAGGTACTGGTAGGGTTTAACATTTGCTGCTAAATTGTGTTTTAATTTCTATTTAGATCTATAAAGGTAAGATAAGCATTTAGATTTCATCACATTGCTATTTTGAAATACCTACACAATGAAATATTATCTCATACTGGCAACATTTACCTACATACTATGTTGGATTTTGCTAGAGCAATCCAGTGCTTGACTAGTTTTATTTATGTACAGTTGCTTAGTAACAAAACTTGTAAACAGGAGAGAATTTACCTACTTGCTTTTCTCCAAACACTACATTTCATGAATGTAAAATAAAACTTCCATTAATAATTAAAGTCAAGTTTTAATAAGACGAAAATATTACAATGATAAAAAATTAACATAAACAAACTAGATAACAAAATAATTAAAAATAATTAATAGAAAAAAATTGTCATAAATCTTCAAATGCTGCAACTAATTTGTGTAGGCGGCCATCGTCAACTTTTTTAATTGGTCTAAACTTGGGTTTTAAAATTGGAATGCTTGGTGCAGAGTCTATTTCTTTTTCATCTTCATAAAAATCCTCTATGTGTGGTTCTAGATCCTTTCTCAAAGTATTAGTGGTGGGCTTTCTGGTTTTTTTACTTTTTAAATCATTTACGCTTGCATTCAACTCAATGAGGTTCTTGTATATTTTGTCATTAAACTGGAAGTTTAGCTTTTTTGTCATCTGTAAATTAGAAAAGTAACATTATATTAGGTTACAAAATACAATAATTACAAACATCATCTATTTAATATTTCAAATACATATGCATAGATTAGTATTCCCTGCACCATAAGTAACAGTTTTTTCAATCTGTTTTAATAAAAACATGGTAAAGTAATGTTCTTATGTATGTTATAAGTTATAATACCATGGTTTATCATGTTAACTCATTAAACTGTCAAACACCGAGAGGACACCGGTGAATGCAACCTATTGTTCTTTAATTGTGTCTATAATGACGGTACTCAACGAGTTAATTAAGTGATGAAACAGTGAATGTTTGACTTCTAGAACTCATTTCAAACGTAGTTTTGAATATCTACAAACATTCAACTTACTTTAGTGCATAGTTGTCCCTTATCTACATTTAAATCCTCTGACGAGAGTGGAGGTGGACTCAGTTTCTTTAGTTCAGCTATATAATTATTTATCGATTCGCTCGAACATAACGTCGGTGCACATAACTCATTTTCTTTCTGAGAACGCGACGACTTATGTGATTGAGAAGGTATTGAGGAGGCTACATCGTGCACAACTTGTCTCCGCGTCGACGGCCTCACTTTTAGCTCACAATTTCTAACCAGTGTCTTTTTAATTTTCGAATCAGATGCAGCTTTATGCATGGTTATATAATAATTTAGATAAACACAGCCCAATTAATTATATATTTGTTTACAAAATTCAAATTCAAAACAACGCGATGTTTCTATTTTGAATTTCAGAAATTGACAGTTTCAATCAATGTCATGCTAATGACATTTGTTTTCGGGCTGCCAACTAGATATTTTAAGATTACCACTTATAAAGAATTTATATAAAATACAGCTATATATACAATTAATATCAACTATAACTAAATGAAAATATATACAACTTAAAATATAAATAACTATGAACTAAAATATTTACACCTTAAAAAAAAGGTAATAATAAATAAATAAGCTATAATAAGGCATCAAAAAAAAAATTTTCCTCATCATTATCGTGAGGTAGGGTGCCCAAAAGACTGGCAGCATTACCACGTTGAATGGCAATGCTTAACCTTTGTCCAAGGTAGAAGCCAGCCCTTCAATCACCTGAAGTGTCAACTATCCTCTTTACAATATCTTTGTAAAGAAGATGTGCACTTGGGCCCCACGGCCCTAAAGTTTCAACCCCAAACGGTTCGAAAGCATAATTGCCAATCAGGCTATCATACTTTCGCCGTTTGAGGTTCTCGGCAGCAGCAGCGGCAGCACCGGCTCGACACGCTGAGTTTGGAAGATGGGATAGCGCCAGAGTATCAACGCAAGTGGCGTCCCATACTAAAGGCCTACCCATCTTCCAAGGGAATAATGACATACCGTCGGGTCTCTTGCCATCGTTGCGTACCAAGCCATTAGGTTCTAAAGTAGCTGGCACGCCAACGGAGACAAGAGCTCGACGAATTATGTCATTAATACTCGCGTGTCGAGCAAAACGACCCGCACTACGGCTACACGACAAGCCGTGGTGTCCAAGGCTGTTGACATCTTCACCACAACGACAACGATGAGGTGAACAAAATGAAGCCCCAAGCCTTAAACAAATTGCAGCGCGGAATGTGGTGTCGTCCAACAAAGTACCTAAGTTGGACGAAGGCAAAGCAAGAAGCCATAACCCTGACTCCCACTCACCCACAGCCAAAAGGCGAGCTCGCTCTGCAGTTGAACAAGCGGAGTTCAATAGATTTTCGCTCACTTTCCTGCAGAGCGGCTCGTCCCATTGTCTCTGGGAGAGTGATTTGACGGGGGGGTCAATATTTGGGCAAGCGATTTTCCAAGCTTTCACAGCTTCCACTAAAAATGGTACATCAAAATTAACCAGTGATTGAGAAAGAATTTTCCTGGTTAATTCTTCAGTACCATGGGCGGAAGATATGAAAGCTGGTAGGCTTACACTGGAAATTTTACGGACGCCAAGCCCACCCATGCGGACAGGCAGAGTAGCTTGTGTCCAGGCTCGGTCGTCGAGAGCCACATTCAAAATTAAGGATAAAGTTTGTCTAATG